TAAGTGGCAGTGGCAGACTTTTCCCCAAAACGTCATTGGTTTTGCTTTCCGCTCTTCACCACCCGCACTGCTGATGCTTGTGCTTTCTCCTGAGCGCTTAGAAATTCTCCTGAATTGCTTGGATATAGATGCCAACTTGCAGCTGTGGTGCTTTGAGTCTTCATAAGCCTCACTTACCTTGTAACTCTTTTTTTCTTTCAGTTTGGTGACCTCACATCTCTGTCCCCAACACTGCTGGACAAAGGTACTTCAGGGGAAGCCCTGTTGGGTTGGGGTTGAATTGCTGTGGGAGGGGAAACCCCGTGCTTGCCCTTCCACTCTGCTCTGTTGGGAAGAGGAACCTCTTCCCCTCCAGTCCCCATGCTAATGCTGAGACCTGTCCTTTGCAGATGACATCGGTGACCTGGGCAGAGAGGTGGACACAGTCTCCCAGAGCATGGGGGAGCCGCTGGTGAAACGGGAACGCAGCGATGGCCACTCGCTGCAGGAGATCTGAAATGGGGACTCAGCTTTTCTCCAGCTGGACGAAGACACCCAGACCCAGGTTGGACGGTCGCAAGCCTGAGTCTCCCCATATCTTCATTCTTAGTGCCTCTTAGTTTTTCTTTACGTTTACTTGTGTTTGAGGATGGGCTCTGGGTTTGAGCCCGGGTGGGTAGTGGGATGGGGCTGGTTAGGCCGCCTGCTTTACTCCAGCATGACCACTGGCTGGAGAACGAAGGTCCAAGTCTGCTACCAAGAGATGGAAGCCTCTGTGGGCAGCAGCAGATCAGATGTGCCTGGCTGGGAGAGGCTGTCCTCTCCGGCCCAAGCAAGGTGGGCAAACGAGGCTTTCTCTTTCAGGGAAGGTGGTTTGAGTTTCTTCCCCACTTCTCAGACTTCACTGTGATACAAACTTGAACCATTCAGTGCCCAAGAAGAAGGAAAAATACCTGACCCTTCTCCTCCAGCCTTTCAAGACAAGCTGATCTGGCTCTGACTTTGCCAAATCATTCGTACTGGGGAGCGCAGGACAGTTCGTCTCTCTTGTAACCGCCTGGGGGGAGAGCTTCGGGCTGCACATCCATCCGCTGCTGGTGGAGTGGGGCACATGTGTGCCCTGGGACTGACATGTACATGCTCTGGGACTATGGGACAAATGTTCCCGCCTGTTCCCGTGTCTCCCCAGCTTTCGTCGCTGATCCACAAATGCTCCTGGGATACTGTCAGGCCAACTCAAGATACCAAAGGACTTTGAGGAAGCGGCAGCTGGTCGCAAAGCGTGTTCATTGCCCCTGTGGCCAATCCCACGGGCAATCCCCACCCTCACCAGGGTACCCAGGCAGAGAGGAACTGATTCCACATCCTGGGTTTTGTAAAATTTTCGCTTGATGTCTTACTAAACCGCTGAAGGTCAGGTGCAGCTGCCTGCGGGGCTGTGTCCAGAGCCTGGGTGAGGGTGTGCGACTGCAGTGCCTTAGAGTGGGCTGGCGTGCCTGCTTCCCCTCACTCCAGGTGAGCCGGCGCAGCTCAGACTCTGATAAAAGAGCCTGTCCCGTGCAGTGCGGGACCGTCACAGTGCCCTGGGTATGCTCAGCACCACAGCAGTGTTTCCCCTTGCTGCATCGCTTCACCTTCCCCTGTGGCATCCTGGTGGTGGTGGTTCCTGCGGGGCTGAGCTGGGCGAGCTGCTGCCGCAGCAGGGTTTTGTTCTCCCTTTCCAATGTAGGGGGGTCTGGGCTGATGGGGGGTACAAGGCAGAGGAGGGAGTGGGATCTGTCATCAAGCCAAACTGCGAAAACAAAGCCCCAGGGCAAATCTTTTTGTGAATAAAGGTTGTGTCATAAATAGCTTTTATTATTATTTCTAATGATACTGTATTTGATGTGAGCTTTTCCAGGGGTCTCGTGTGCATTTGCATATTGGAGTATATTCTATCCAAATATAATTTCCTCATTCTGAATGGTACTAAGGTAGCTGTGACACTTTAAAAGATGTTGCTAATGGCAAGTAAACAGAAAGCGTGTGTAGCGGCACATCTTTCCCTCTTCTTGTCCCGTGCTGTTGTCTGTTAGGGTGATGTTTGTTTGTAAATGTCTCATATCCAAGTAGCAGGAGACAAGGGAGAAAGCCGGATTTCTCTGTAAATAACGCCAGTGCATACTGCCCGGGCCAGAGTCTGCACTTCAGATCCTGCTGATGAGATAAAATGGTTTAAAAACCCATCCTAGCAACCGAGTCTTAAACTCCCCTGCTCCCACCGAGTGCGATATTAACTTCAGCTGCTGCATTGGCTCTTCCCTGCAGCCGCTGCCGCCTGACCCCAGCCACCTCCTGCTTACCCTGGCTGTGCAAAGAAGATGCTCTGGAGCTCTGCAGCGCCGTGAAAAGAGTCTGGATAACACCGAAACCCAGCCTGCACAAAACTCCCAGCTAAACCTGAATAGCAATAAACATTTATCGAATGCTCAGGCCTGTACAGTGCTTGTTGTGGTCCTGTTTCTTCTTGAATCACTGAAAGGAGATGTCAGGGAAATGCTGCAGCCTTGCAGTGTCTAAGGAAGAGGCAGTATCCACACGATATACTCTTAATTAAAATTATTTTGGCCAGGAATTGGGCGTCTGCAGGAAGGCAGATTCCCCACAGAGCAACAGCCGGTTTGTAGGGGTGAAATGCCCATTGCACTGGAGTTCACGGAGGGGAGACGAGGCTGAAAGACCAGGCATGGGGCCATAAGAAGCATTTTCTATTACACTTCCAGACTAATTATGGAAGATGAGAGCAGTGAGGCAGGGATGTGAGGGGTGACAACTTCTGGTCTGACCTCTCAGGAAGGGGAGGGTTGAGCCTCAGCCTCCTCCGCTGTGTCCTTCCTTGCTTCACTCTCCCTCTGGATTATGCCCAGTTTTGGGAGATGCTGGAGCAGCTTCAGCCTCTGCCTTTGGATACTGGGCTGGGAGAACGAGGTGATTTCCCCTTGGGGGGGCTGAGCTGCACCCCCATGACTCCCAGTGTACCCGGCTGGAAATGGAAAGTGAAGCACAGCTCAAAATGCTCTTGTTAAAACACACACACATAGCTTCAGCCCGCTCTGGCTTCATCACCTCTCCTAGGTGGGCAAACCCCTGCAGAAATTTTGACACCAGCATTTGCTGCGGGGCTGGGCTGGCAGGACACTGGGGATGGATTGGGGAGCTGCTGGGCTGGGGCGATGGGACCCCAGCAAGGGATGGGGGGAGCCTGCGTGGCCCCTCCTGCCTGCAGGGACATGGACAGAGGGGGTTGCAGCTTCCAGTTGAGAGCGAGCCGAGATAGGAGCGTGGGTGGGGGGTGCAGTGTCCTGACTGGCAGTGGATCTGCCTTCCACCGCAAATTCAGTCGAGGTTTGTCCTTGTCACCTGACACCAAGTGCTACCACGCTTCAGGGACCGCAGCTGTTCCCAGCTCCCCTGCTGGGCAGCTCTGGGCCACTGGTCTCATCTCAGGACTTTGTCTCCCACCATCTCACCGCCAGGCAGATCCCAAACAGCAGAGAAGGCCGGGAGGTGGCAAGGGAGGTGACACCAAGTGCACCATCCCAGAAGCTGTTTGCCATCACTGGTCCCTATGACATCCCAGAAGGATGAGCTCTGAGCAGGACAGTGCAGCGCAGCTCAAGGGTGCATTTGGAGCAGTCCTGTGTGACTGGGACAGGGCATTGGGCAGGGGAGACTGCAGGGGACCAGCCTGTCTGGGTGGAAGATGCTAGAGCCTGGTGACAGCTGTTGGGAGAGCTCAGAGGGGGACATGGGACAAGCCCCTGGCCGGTGCCTCTGGCCTTCACATTATCCTCCCACCATGGGCCCCAACAGCGGCATGAATCTCATCCCAGACCTTCCCCATCTCATGCTGAAGCTTTGGGCTGTCCTGCCCTGCTGTGTCCCCCCTCCCAGGGGGGCCATGCCCTGGGCCTCACCCCATTCTTGGGGGTCCTCTGCTGCCCCTCGCTGGGGCAGGGGTTGGTGTGCAGGAAGAAAGCCCTTTGCCTGCCACTGGCAGCAGCAGGAGCCCGAACAGGGCTGAACCCTCCCTTCACCTCCACATCACTGCCACTGTCACTGTACAAGACAGGGAAACTGAGGCACGGGCTGGGATGCCGTATGGCAGTGTTTCATTGTATCACTGGATACCACTAGATACCAGTACTAGTGTCCCTGCCCCTGCCTACACCCACTCTGGCTCAGCCATCACTGCAGGAGTAGCCCAGCTGGGACCAGTTACCCCACAGACCGGTTTCACCTGGAGCCAGGGGGAGGGAACTGGGTGGGGGCAGGTCTGACGGCTCTTTGTGGGCAGCTGCTCTTATAAACCAGCAGCTTGCTCCTTCTGGAGGCTTTTCCCTTCTGTCTTTTCCTTTCTTTTCCTTATTAGGCACTTTAGTGTGGTGGTGGGGAGGGTTGGGGGGCGGCTCTCTGCAGCTCTTGGCAATGTAGTGCCAGGATTTTCTGCCCTTCCCAGCGCTGCCAAACAGGTAAGGTCACAGCATGGGGCTGCCCCTGCTCCCCTTTCCCCAGGCTGGGGACTGCAGCACAGAGCAGGGCCTGGCTGTGGTCAGGATGGGTCCCAGCACTGTTTCTCTCCTTTATGCTGTCCCAGATGAAGGATGATGTCTTCATGGAGCTCTGGGGTGGCCTTGGGAACTGGTTCCCAGGCCCCTTTGCCAGCACAAAGAAATCCCTTCCCAGTGCCACGTCTCCTCCCGCTGCGGAGCCGCTCGATCTCCCTGTTTGGCCATGAGGACTTGGAGAGCTTTGATGGGTAGGTGGTGGGTGAGCCCCGGTCTCACCTCACGTTTGTCCCTGAGGGAATGTGTTCCTTGTTGGGGATGGGATTAGTTCATGGTCTCCTGTGGTGCTCCCAGAAGTGGGGGCCTCACAGAGTGCAGGTTGACATTGCTCCCTCATAGCTAGGGTGAAGCTGGTGGCCCTGGGTCTCCCCCCAGTGTCTCTGCCATCTTCACCATTATGGCTGACACAGGGCAATGCTCAGCAACCTAAAGGCCACCAACCCACAGCTGTGTCCCTGCTGCTCTGCCAGGAGCTTCTGCGATGGGAGCGATGCTTTGGAGGCTGATCTGTGGGACTGCAAGCACCCCCTCCCGGACCCACAGCTGGTCCGGAGGATCATGTCCCAGGTGGAGTTCTATCTATCCGACGAGAACCTGGCCAAGGATGCTTTCCTCCTGAAACATGTCCAGAAGAATAAGATGGGCTTTGTCAGCATCAAACTTCTGACGTCCTTCAAGAAGGTAGGCAGCCGTGGCACTGGCCACCTGGGGTGGGAAGTGGTCTTTGCATCCAGGATGTCTAGGTGTGCTCTGACTGTCTCTGGTGGGGTGTTTGGGGAGTCCAGGCTTCACTCAGTGTCTCAGCAAAGTGTTGGTGGTGCAGTGCTGGGCTCTGCTCTCTGCTTTTGATGTGCTGCAGCACCTCTCCAACCAGGGAGGGTGGTGTGGGAAGTGATGAGTGGTCCCCAGACCCACCCCCTGGGCTGGATTCACCTCTTCTGCCCATGGTCCCCTTGGTTTGCTTTGGGAGAGATCACCCCTTAACTGTAGGGTACCACTGGTGCTGATGTATGGGGGAGCTGCAACTTGGTGTCATGGTCCGGGTGACACTGGGGACCTTCTGCAGACCCTGAAGATGCTCATGTGCAAGGGGCAAGGCAATACCTTGCCTTCAGGTTGATGGGGGTTGAGCCCTGGAGGGTGGCTTTGGGGTGGTCCCTGCCTGGGAGGCTCATGGGGACAGAGTGTCCCACCTCTCTCCCGAAGGTGAAATACCTGACCCGCGACTGGCGGCTCACGCTCTACGCCCTGCGGTTTTCTGAGCTGCTGGAGGTGAATGAGGAGGGCACCAAAGTGCGGCGCCGCTTCCCTGTCCCCGAATCCCTGCTGAGTGTCCCGCCCAGCAAACTGCTGCTGGCCTGGGAGCTGCTGCCCCGTGAGCAGGAGGTGCCCCTGCTGCTCCAGAAGAGCTTCCTCGAGACCATCACAAAGATGTTCAGCCCCTTCGGTGCCATTGCGTCCATCCGCATCCTGCGGCCGGGCCGCACGCTGCCCTCAGATGTGCGGAAATACGCCTCGCGCTTCCCCGAGCTACTGAGCGAGTGCTGCGCGCTGGTGGAGTACGAGAGCCTGGAGAGTGCCCGCAGGGCCTTCGAGGAGCTCGGCTGCCAGAGCCACCCCGGCACCAAGAGCATCAGGGTGGTGCGGCTCAGCGGGAAGGGCTCCAAGAAGAAACCCGGGGCCAAGAGGGAGGAGATGATGGAGCGGCCAGGTTGGAAGATTCCCCCGAGCTACTGAGCGAGTGCTGCGCGCTGGTGGAGTACGAGAGCCTGGAGAGTGCCCGCAGGGCCTTCGAGGAGCTCGGCTGCCAGAGCCACCCCGGCACCAAGAGCATCAGGGTGGTGCGGCTCAGCGGGAAGGGCTCCAAGAAGAAACCCGGGGCCAAGAGGGAGGAGATGATGGAGCGGCCAGGTTGGAAGATTCAGACAGCAGCCATGACTTTCCCCTACGGCCGTGGGGGCTCCAGCCGTGGGGGCTCCCTGCTCTGCAGCTCCCCGGAACCAGATGATGCCCCAGTGTCACCACCTCCCCTCCTGCACCGGGACCCCCTGGTGCCTTCCTGGCCCGGGGATGACTTCAGCAGCACCTTCACCGGATCCCTCCTC